CCGTTAATGAACCTTTGGGTGCTTTTCTTCACATCTTGAAATAATACTTCTTTCTCTTTCTCCAGACCAAAAAACTTGTTGGTGTACAACTGCACAACGGGTGGAATCAACCCTTTCTTCTGGGGAGAAATGGGTAAGTTCCATCTCAAACTGAGAGCATCATGTTCCTCCCAGTGTCAGACATCAACAGGATTCCTCAGACAGGCTTTGAGAAAGTGGTTTCCAGTATTTAGGTGGTATTCAGTGTCTGCCATCCGAGTGTGTGTGGGAGGCCCAGCTGCGGTCAGGGAGGGTCCAGTGAGGAAAAGCTCCTGGTGCTGAGCATTCAGCTCAGGAAAACCTCTATTCAGCTTTCACATTGTCATAGAAAAACCCAGAAAAAAAAAAAAAAAACACAAAACTTGGCTGCTCTGAGATCTTAAAGTGTGTGAGAAAAGGAACAGAGAACCGGTCCCTTAATTCTGTGAGAAGCTGCTCTGTGTAGCCCCAACAGGACACCTTCCAACACCTTCCACCAGCCCAGGCTGCTCAGAGCCCCATCCAACCTGGCCTGGGACACTGCCAGGGATGGGGCAGCCACAGCTTCTCTGGACAACCTGTGCCAGGGCCTCCCCACCCTCACAGGAAAGAATTTTTTCCTAATGCCTAACCTAATTTTCTCCTCTTTCAATTTGTCCTATCAACAACCTTATTAGAACCTCGATAGTGAATGAAAATTAGTATATTATTGGCACTGCATTCCTTCCCAGCAGCCCATCCCAGACTGCTTATCACCACCCCCCTGCCAGGAGCAATCACCTTTCCAAACCTTCAGCGAGCCCTCCCTGCCAGCTACACGGGAAACTTTAAATAGAGGGCTTTTGCTAATCCTTTTGGGGTTTTTTGGGGGGAGAACATGCTGCAAAGGGGAAGATTTCTGTACCACAGCCCACAGAGTGACCACAGGATAACCACATCATTGCGGTGTGGGAGCAGAAGGGATGGCAGTGAGCTTTAGCTGTTCAGATGCAAGATGATTTGCAGGAGAACCGGTCTTCAGCCAGTAAACTTGCAGTGAACAAGATAAAAAAGCAAGGAAATTGCACCAAAATCAAGTTGCATTATTTTAAAAGTCATTGGTGTCTCAGCATAGCATCTAAGTGGCCTAACAAGTTGCTGCTGTTTAGAAGAAGTACAGCAAAAGTCACTGCTTGAAATACAGTAATGAGCTGACCACAGACACACAAGAGGTCCTGTCTGAATGGTATGATTGAAATCTGCTTATCTGAGGATGATCTGGATGGTTTTTTTTGTGACTTGCAAATTCTCATCTGATTTTTCTATTTGTAACATAAGCTTAGAGACTAAACTATAATACGAGCACAGATTGGTGTCGTTAACTCCCGAATCAATTTTTTAAGAAGTGAAAAAAAGCCCACATATTCTTCTTTCTTGAGCTCACTGGTGCTCAGGAATAGGAGCACCATCTGTTTATCAGTCCCTGGGATGATAGTCTTATATTCAACTACTGCAGTTCATATTAAGCCTCTGCAATATGCAAATGCCCCAGATATGCACATCTAGATGCCACTCTGTGGCACTGTGCCACTGCAAGAGCTCAGAATCAGATCCAGCATATTTTGGGCCTTAACTTGCAAAGGGAATGGAAGATTGTTTCCCCATCCCTTGTTTTTTTTTTTTTTCAAATTAAGAGTGCAAGAGGATTTGCTGCTTTAGAGCAGTCAGAGCTCTTTCTGAAAACAGGCTGAGGTATCTGTTGTTGTGGTTCAGATGTGGTTTGAAAGGATGTAATGAAGTTTTTTTAGATGCAGCACCCTGTGTGTGTAAGTGACCTGTCCCTGGCTCGGACCAACACAGACATCAGCCCCTTTGAAAATCTGATTAGAAATTAAATGTCTTTTTTTTTTCTTTATCCTAGCAGACCAAAGTGTGCTTTCATTGATCTGAAGCAGTGTTAGCACTTACCAGTTTCTTTTGCATCTGCTGCAGGTGAAAAGCAGAACTGCAGCTCCTTGAAGCAATTCAGGGCTACAACTGCCTGCTTTTCCTCCTTTATGCTTTGGTGTTCTGATGAGGAGGGTTTTTTTTGTCTGCCACTGTTGAGTCTGGAGTGGGATTGTGCTTCAGGTAGGCAGTAGATGGAGTCATCGTGCCAGAAGGGACCATGAGATGATCTTGTCCGAGAGAGAAGTGTGGGTTGAAGGTGTTCGCCTTGGGCTGTGCCCAGCTGGAAGGGAGTGATCCTGAGTGAAATGCCTGTTCCCTTGCAGGGCAGTACGTCATGTCCACGTTCAAAAGGAACCCCCTGGAGCAGGCCTTCCGAACCCCCAACGCTCACATGACCTCCAGCTACTTGATAAACCAGTACTGGATCACCGTCAGCCACAAGGCGCCCGCCATCCTCTACGACCTGTACATGAGGCTCACGGGGAGAAAGCCCAGGTAAGAAAGCATGAATTAATTCAGCCTCCTGCCACTGTGGTGGGGAGCAGGTCCTTGATTGTCTCCCCGTCTCCTCACCTTGAGAAAAAGAAAGAAAATGCATGGCCGTAGCTAAACACGGCCAGGGTGCCCACCCTTTGCACTGCCTGGACAATCTTTTAAACTCAGTTTTACACATTTCAGATGTGCCCCAGGCAGGAAGGCTGTCTGTCCTCTGTATAGCCAGATCTCCACCACTGCAGCTTCCCGATGTGACTGCCCCTCTCTGCCTTGACCTTGCATAAGGACGTGTGGCTGGCAAGGCATACAACATTCCAGCTAATAATTTTTTTTGCCCATAAATCAGATGCATAATTAGCAATTTGCAGCACTGGCCCAGCCCCCTGAAATCTAGGAAGCAGTTGTTTTTTGAAAATTATGAAATTCGGAGTTGTATTTCGGAGGGCAGCTTCCCATCGCAGGTGGTGTTTGAGCCTTGGCAGTGTTATGGCTTGGAGGAACAGTGATATTCCTGTCTCCCATGTGCAAGGAACCCTTGTGTGAGTAACACAACTCCAGAGATTGTCCTCCTTTACTCCCTGCCACCACAGAGGAAGATTTGTTGTGCCACATGAGAACAGCATGCCAGTGCTGTGTGCATGTCAGCTGCTCCTGTGCTCTTCTGCTAGCTAAGAAACTGTGTTCAGCTGTTTGCAGGGAATCCCCTGGCTGGTGTATTGCTCTTATTTCTCCCTGCTATGGAGGGAAACTAGTCCATAAAATTCCTTCCAGTTATCCAGGAGGCAGGCATTATCTTAGAAATGGAGCTAAACTGAAATAGAGCAGGAATAGGCTGTAAGAAAAAAAAAAAAAGCACTGCCATTACAACTGACATTTCTTTTCATAAAGCTGATTGGCATAAGCAACCAGTGGACATTGCCCACAACACTGTACTTAAATGTCAAACAGACCTCAGCATGATCTTCTGAACTTTAAGGTTTGCGACTTGAGCAAACACAGCCCAGCAAAGAAATTGTGAGTTCACCAAGTTTTTAATAATAATACAATATCCCTTTTCTTTTTATGCTCCACTTAAGCTCATCCAGGTATTGCTGGAATGTGGTAGAAAGCATAGTAGCAGCTCATTCTTTTCTCCTTTTCCCACCTAACTAAATATCAGACCTTTGTGGTGTAAGGGCAGTAAACCATATTAAAAAAAAAAAAAAAAGTTGACTGGATCACTGAACCTGTTTTTTAAGTTTCCCTTTAGTTTTTCCCTCTGCTTCAAACAGAGCACCTAGGCTTAACTTTCTTCCCACTTGTCACTCCCATCCATTGAAGTACAAGCCATCTTCCAGGCAGTTTCTGGAATTCTTCCCGTGGCCCTATGCCATATTTGCAAGCAGAAAGGAGAGATTTCTTTGCCAGGACCAGAACTCAGGCTTCAGTTCTCTACTGTGTCCATACTCAACTCATCATAAGGTGCTGGATTATCATCTGGAATAGGTTATCTGGGAGCTGGTGATGGTTTTGTAAGTGTACTGTGTATTCAGGACCAGCTGATGACCTTCACTAATTTGATTTACAGGCTAGTTCAGAGGAACTGGGCCACAGTTCCTCCTGTAATTATCACATTCTGTACCCTGTCTACCAAAGGGTAGGTACAAGAGTCATCTCCTCCATGTTTAGACTTCTATATACAGCCTCTCCTGAGAAGCTTATTTTAGATGTAACCTTATTTCACATAAATTGCCAGATGTTGAGCAAAACTGCTCTAAATCTCTTACTGTGGATGCTGCACATCCATCCATGACTTAGAGCATAATGTGGTTTATAACATTAGTAGTCTCCTGGGGAAATCTGTCACACCTGAGAATCTTCTCGTGCAAGGCTCTGTCTGGGAGGAAATAAAGAAATCATTGCTGTAAACAGTTTTCTGGAAGACAAGGTGCATTTCTGAAGTGTAACTTTTTAAGGCTATAGAGACAGCTAATTTTTGCTTTATTCCTCTCAGTTCCTCCACAGTGGAGACTTTCTGTTGGATACCTTTGTCTCCCACAGAGGCTGCAGAAAAACTTGGTTGATGTTTTTCAGTAGACTTTTCCTTCCTTCAAATTAGTCAATATTTTCAGTATTGAAGTCAGTTCACGTATTGATTCACAGCATTTGAGCTCAGGCTGTTAACGTGAAACGTGGTTTTCACAGGTATTTCTTTTCTCTATCTATCTGACCCTTACTTTTGGCCACCCAGATAATGTTGCTTTGGTTAAATTTACAGACAGAGCTTACTCTGCTCACATGGAGCAGCAGGCCACGGGGGACAGCCCATTTTCAAAACATAAATGGGCAAACACTGTTGATTCTCTTGTCAGTTTTTCTGCCTTATTCCACTAGCCCTAAAGCCTTTAAAGATATTCATGGCTTTTGGGATTCCAGTTTGAGGGGCACCTTCTAGATCTTTGCAACCTAGCCGTATATTATGCTGCCCAAGTTCCCAAAAGGTATTGAAATATTCTCAGAGCTTTGCCCCATAGCGCCTGCCTGCGCAGGCACAATCAGGAAGATGGATCTGAAATAATTCTGGAGTACTTTGATTGAATGCAGTTTACCTAATGTGCTCACAGCTGTTGAGAACGAAGGTTCCTTTAACCTGATGGCGCTCTTTGCTTCCAAGGTGAAAGCCCCTTTGAGTAGGAGTGCCTGTGTGAGGTTGTAGGGCTCTTTCAGATGGCTCTGGGAGGGCTGCAGGGTTCTCCTCTGAGCTGCTGGGCTCTCTGTGTCTGTCTGTGCTGCTCGTGGTGCTGATGGCCGTGGCAGTGCCGACTGCGTGGGGACAGCCCCGCCTGGCACCGTCGGTGTTTGTCACCAGCAGCTGTGCTGCCCTCTGGGGCAGCTCAAAACTCCTCGTGAAAACAGCTCTGTTTTCCACAGAAATCAGCCTTTCAGTGCTCGCTCTCTCTCGCCCTTACCCAGTCTGAGGGGACGGGGTGTTCTCTCCAAATCACACTTCAGGACAGCTGCCAGGGGCCTTTTGTACTGGGGAAACTGTAAAATAATCCTGCAGGGGAGGACAGCAGTGCTGTCCTTCTATATAGAACGTTACTAGAAAATATATAGAACATAATAGAAAAGGCCAAGACACATGAGAGACCTGAACCCACATTTCCAGGGTCCCCGAAGCAAGACAAGAAGGGCACGGCCCTGTTGGAGCGGGTCCAGAGCAGGGCCATAAAGATGAGCAGAGGAGGGCTGGAGCATCTTCTCTATCAGGACAGGTTGAGAGAACCAGGACTTTTCAGCCTGGGCAAGAGAAGGCTCCAGGGAATGCTTCTAGCAGGTTTTCAGTACTTAAAGGGGACTGACAGGAAAGATGTGGAGGGACTCTTATCATGGAGTGTAATCATAGGATGAGGGGTAATGGTTTTAAATTGGAAGTAGATTTAGATCAGATACTAGAAGCAATTTCTTTCCTGTGATGGTGGTAAGACTGGAACATGGAGCTCTGAGCAGCTTGGTCTGGTGGAAGGTGTCCCTGCCCATGGCAGGGGGTTGGAACAAGATGATCTTTAAGATCCCTTCCAACCCAAACCATTCTGTGATTCTCTGATTGTATCTGAAAGTTGAGCTGTGGACTTCTGAGCTTGTCCATACTGCAGATATAGTCACCTCTGTACTGGAGCTAACTTCCAAAATCAGAGCCTCGCTTCAGCAGACAACCCAGGCTTGGGAACAGAAGAGAATTTGTGGAGGAGCATCCACCTCGGGAGGCAGGCAATACAGCTTTGTGGCTTTGCAATCTGCTGTGCAGGCTTCATCCTAGTCCAGATGGGCTCTTCACATGTGGTACAGGAGGTAGATGAGGTTTTCAAGCCCTGTTTAGGTCAGACCAGTAAGTCAGACACAAGTGGCAAACACGTGTTTGCACCCACATTCGAGCCATCAGTAAAAACAGGGCAGCATTTGGCTCTGGAGACCTGCTGTTCACCTCTGACCCTCCTCCTCTGTTCCAGAATGATGAAAATTATCAATCGGCTGCACAAGTCTATGACTCTCCTGCAGTATTTCTCCACCCAGTCCTGGAACTGGTCTTCAGATAATATGAATATGTTAATGACTCATCTTAACACAGAGGACAAAAAGGTAAGTAAGTGCATCCTGAATATGGATTGCTAACCTCCAGTTCTGTTCATCTGGAGCAGTTAGTTGTTGAGCTTTTGAATGACATCCAGATGACTGGAATTTACTGTAACCTGAAATAATTTATTTCCTCCTTGTTTTATTAAGTAACTTATCAGGAACTTTGCATTTATTACAGGAAGTGTGTTACTTTTTCTTGTGAGACAGGTTAATCACTGAAGTCTTTCCAGCTAACATGGCAGCTGTGGTGGGTGATCTAGGTGGAAATTCCTTGAAAGATTTTGACATTTTCATCCACACTGGTTTTAAATGGCACTTGATAGGCAATTTAGTTAACACAGTGTATTACCTTGAACAATATCAAAAAAGTTCCTGTTTTATTCAAGTCCCCAGAGAGCAATTAAATTTGCTGCGTGCCAAGCTCTGTTGTAGTCTTTATATGTTTGAAATACTACTCCTTAAGAGCGGGATTGTAACTGGGAGAGTAGATCTGAGATAAGTTTGAAGCACCTTTGGTCAGCATCTCCTTGCAAAGAGGTACTTGGGTATTCAACATCATTACACGTAATTCTAGTGACACATAAAAACTGCATGGAGGTTTTCATATTGAGTGGAATGCCACTCGATGAAGAATTGATGCTTAAAGCAAGCTAGTTTTGAACTCTGGTGTTTAACTTTTGCTCTCTGTCTCTAAATCCCAGCTGTACAACTTCGATGTCCGTCAGCTGCACTGGTCAGAATACATCGAGAGCTACTGCATAGGGGCCAAGAAGTACTTGCTGAATGAGGACATGGCAGGAATTCCAGCAGCAAAGCAGCATTTACGGAAGTAAGTCCTACCCAGTGACAAGGATAAGGCCTCCTGGCTGCCTGGAATGGCACTTGAGGAGAATAATTCTAGTTACCTTGCAATAATTGTTACTGTTTTATAGCATGGAAAGATAAAGAGCTTATTTCTTATGGCAGCAGTCTGCCAGTGTTTACAAACAGGGAGAGATAGAACAGTTTGCCATAGCAAGGAATCCTAAACAATTTCATCAGTCACGGATCATTTTCAGAAGATTTATAAGAACCTCAGTAACAGACTACTAACTGCCTCATAGCCCAGAAAGGCAGTGTGGTAGAGAGCAGTGATAAAGTTTACCTTTAAAAAAAAATAAAATAAAAAAAAGGACTCTTACAAAAATTGAACCAGTCTCAAGGTCTTTAGGTATGAAGCTTTTTTTTCCCTTGGTTAAGCACTGGGAAAGTGAGACTTAGAGAAGTGCAGAAACTTCTTTTGCTTGACAGAAAGAGGATGGAATTATCACCATCTTAAAAACTCAATGATACCATTGAAATAGATGCTGTAAATTGTTCCCCCTCCCAAAAAACAATCCCAGTACTGCAGAAGTGAAGACCATTTATGATTATTGAGTGATTTCTTAACACTAAAGCCAAGATTTCACCCAAATAAGAGAACCCTATTCTCCTGCTCCTGTGAGGGTCCCCCAGCCTGACACCAATCCTGCAAAGTAAAAACCAGCTAATAATACAACAACCAAAGCAGAAGGTATCAGACATAGACTGTCATGAAGAAAAACCTCTCAGTAGGGCTTTGTTCTGGTTTGACATGACAGAACACAGAACAAGAGAGAACTCCAGTACAAGTAGTTCCACCGTCCCATTAACTGTTCAGCACAGTCCTTGGCAAGAAGGCAGGGACATCTTTGGCACAGAAGACAGGGAAGATTAGAAGTTGTAAATAGGATTTCTTACAAAGTCACCTGTAGGAAACTTTGCCAACTGGCAGGATTCCTTGTTGCTCCTGCCTTTCTCCCCTCTGAGGTGCCTCCTCCTCTTCCCCCAGGCTGAGGAACATCCGCTACGCGTTCAACACCACCCTCCTCGTCATCATCTGGCGCATCTTCATCGCCCGGTCGCAGATGGCTCGGAACATCTGGTACTTTGTGGTGAGCCTCTGCTACAAGTTCCTCTCCTACTTCAGGGCATCCAGCACCCTCCGGCACTGAAGCCACCCATCAGCAACCCGCCCCTTCCAGAAGGACCTCCATCTCCTCTGAGCAGCAACTATGGGCATCGGGGTCTGACAGTAGCAGAAAATTCCACTCCCCCCACCCCCCAACAGCAGCTGGCATTTGTTTGTGCACTGTTATATGATGTTCACCTTTTTAATTTAACTAATGCTTTAATACGTGGTGGTCTTTCTTCCATAGGACCAGGCCAATTTTTTAAAGCCATAACTGAAGCTTTAGGAACAGGTCAAGCTGTGGAACCCTTCACCTAGAGTCTGATGTGCAAGAGTAAGGATTAACCAAAGTCGTTGTCTTCCCATGTACTACCCCCCTAGGCTATCTTAATCCCATCTTCTTCCTCAAGAGAGGCAAATTTAAAGCATAGAACCTTGGCAGAAAAGGACGCCAAGGAAATTATCTTGTAAGGGGTCTTCCTAAGGAGGCTGTTCCTTCATTCTCATTGCGTGAAATGTTACCTTGTTGGAAAAAAAACCCCAAAATTTCACTTTCCAGTTTTTCAAAACTTAGAGGGGGAAAAAGATGAGTTACACTGGGCCAGTGAAAACACAGAATAGTTTTCAGATCTTGTCTTATATTGCTACTGAGGACTGATGCTTTCAAGCCATAACTGAAGACACACATAGAGTTGATGCACCTGTGTTAACTCACAAGCTGCTTTCTTACAGACAGGTCTTTCTTTCTCTCTGGTTAAGGTTTCAGTCTACTAAAAAATCCTGATCTTGCATTTATCACATTTGCTCAGAACAGTGTTGGGGTCTTGAAAAACGCTCTATTAACTCTGGGGACGAAGAGAAGACTTTCTCAAAAGACCGAAGAAGAATTCAGAAACTCTTTATTATTTTAATAGATCTTTTTTCCCCCCTGGATTTGTCTGCAGGAAACCTCTCTCCCTGTAACTCAAAACCAGCCTGATACTGTGCTTCACATGCTTTCATTACAGCTAAATCACTTTACACTTTCTTTGCCAGTGGAGGTGACCAATTGCAAAGACACACATGGAGGAAACACCATCGGGCCAGTTCCGCTGCCACTCTTTGTCAGTAGGCATTAAAAAGCCTGAAGGTTGGTTTTGTTGGTACTGTTGGACTCCGTGATCTTAAAGGTCCAACCTAAACAACCCTGTTATTCCATGGCTTCTCTGTAAAAACAGTCCTGCACTGTGAGGCTGAGCCCGAGGACCTTCCCAACGCTCGTGGCTATCGGAGACACTTGTTCCACACAGTGAAGTAGCAATTCCTGTGGGGGCAGAGAGAGAGAGAGAGAGAGAGCTTTCCTCAAAGTACATGGTGCAACAGCAGCAAATCTATCGTGCTGTCACATTTCCAGAGCCAAATCTAATACCGAGATATTTTGTATTCAGCTAACACTGAATAAAGCGCTCTGAGATCAGACTTCAGAGCAGCTTGTTTTTGAAACTCCAGTCTTGTGTCGTGCTGGCTGTCTGAAAAAGTAATGCTACATCACAACAAAGTGACACAGTTGCTCTTTTGCTAGCTGAGAATAGCAGGGTATTTACAGAGTTGGCATTCTTCAAAAATTAGGACTTGTTTTTGGCAGTAAAGGCAAGAGCGAGTTATGATGACAGTGTATTTATATCTTAGGCCTTCAAGCTAGTTCAAAAGTCTTTCTAAAGGTGCAAAGAATTTATCTTACCCAGAGGTCTAGTTTCTGCCTGCAGCAAAAACACAGTGTCCAGAATAGCAGGGCTCTGGCATTGCCTACCACAGACCTCTGTGTTTTTCATACATTGCTCCCGATCTGTGATTAATTAGATCAAAGCACCCAGTTTACAAAGATGCAGATTTCTTAAGCTCTTGCCTTGAAAATGTAAACTTTCAAAAGGAAACTGGTGCTGGTTTTTAGCTGTGTGTTTTCTAGCTTCAAAAAGCTGGAAAGGACAGGTGCCACTACTGTCTGGGGAACCTGGAGCTGTGGGTTCAGGTGCTGGGGACAGACATTTCATGTCCAGTGCTGCCACAGCAGTGTCAGAGAAGGTTAGTGGCATTATACCTTGCTATCCTGGTGGGGATGAGGCAGATTGCTGTAGAGATTCCTCCAGAAAGGCTGAATTCCCTCAGGTACACAGTCAGGTCATCAGGCACCTCGCAGTCTCCTCATCTGAAAGGCTAAAAAAACAAAGCAAACCAAAACTGAAGATGACTTCGAAACAAACTTCCATTCAAAAATTAGGAAATAAATTCTAACTTGTATGCTAAAAGTCCTTTAAAGAGTGCCTGCCTTATGTACAAAGAGAAGCTAGTCTTATGACAGACAAAAACTTGGGTGTCAGAGAGAATCAAGGGTGCAAACCTTGCCACGCCGACATCAGTCAGCTCTGCTAAGAGTAAAGTGTCCCACCTTCCCTTCTCCTTCCCTGGTCATGCCATGCATTCCTCACAGCATGCCTGTAGGCATTCCCAGCTGTTTGCACAGGCTGCATTGTCCCAGCAAGCCTCAGGTGTATCTTTGCTCACCTGAGCACGTCCGGACCCGTTCTCTGAACGCACAAAAAAGATGCTTCAGGTTTCACTCAGAACAGCGGTGGTGTGATATTTTTAGGGCTCTTCAGCCACAGCAAAACTACTGCTCAGCCCTGAAAAAAAAAAAACAAAAAAACAAAACAGCAGGAGCTGCTTGGGCTGTTGGAAAAACATAGCTGTTGCAGATGGTGTTTGCTCTTGTGGAGACCTTTGACAGCCCGCACAGCGCTGCCAGCAGCTGGCTCCGGAGCTCTGGCCTTGCCTGGGGCGGATCAAGCTGTTAGCTTGTCTGACACAGACGCAACACGCAGGGAAACTTGAATCTCTCATCCGTTTTCTTGTGGCTTGAGATGTTTCCATGTGACTGAACCACAGAAGTGTCTCAGAAAAGCTCAGTGGAGGGGCTGGCGTGTGGCGATGGCCCCCGGGTTCCGTCGGGACTGTCATCACAGAGAGCTGGGCCCGGCACATGAACTTGTTCTCACCCCAAGCAGTGGCTTACTTACCTTTGATGGTTTACTTTGTGCTCCTCAGTGGATTTGCTTGTGTGTGCTCTGAGGAAACCCAAGTCTTGGGGGAAGTACCTAAAAGAAAACACCGAGTGACAAGACACTTCTTTCCTTCTCTGTTCTCTTGCTCTTTCACATACACTCACGAGCTTTTGACAAAAGAAAAGCCAAATGCAGCTGCTACTAAGTTAAATCAGAGGACCATGGTGACAAATTATTGCAAAAAACTGCATTGATCAATGAGCTGCCAGACTCAGAGGACTCTCCCTCAAGGAATGGGGGAAGAAGGAGATCTATCAGCATATTGACACGGGTTCAGTTTCTTGTGATGGAACATCCAGACTCAAAGGCTCCCCTGTCCTTTGCCCAGCTGCCTACAGGCGGCATGAAGAACAATGCTGGCAGCCACAAAAGAAAATACCTGCCACAGGGCAGTAGGATGGGATTATTTGCTGAACTTGCAGTGATTTTACCCTCTCACAGTGGAAATAACGCGGAGCGCTGCGGAACCTCCTCTGTTAATGCTCTGCACACACCCTGGTCTGTGGGCTACAGCTGGGAACTGCTGTGCCAGAGCAGTGAAACATCATTTCACTGTCACGCAGCAGTGGGCAGAACCTTGCAATTAACAACTATCTTTTTAATTACATCGCGATCACAAAAAAAAAAAACCACACACAACAAATCCCTAAAATTAACCCATGCTTAAACTGCCTTTTGACTGACAACCAAAATTCAGCATGTCTCTTACCAAAAAAATAAAATTCCTCACCCCTCCACACTCCTCTATTCCAGTAACTTTGTTAAGAAAATACAGTTCTTTCTTGGTAGAGATGTGGGTATCAGACATACTGGTACATCACAGATTGTTGGCCCATTTCCCACCTCCTCCAAAAGAAAATCCTTCTTTCATATTTTCTAAGATAACATCATTATATATGCCTGTGTGTACAGCTGCATCTTTCAGCACCAGACAGCATACAAAAATGGAAAAAAGTCGTGGAGCTCACACTGAAATGCCAGGCTGTGCTTGCTTGGTGTGTTGCAGACAAAGTGATTAAAACATCCCCCAGTTTCCAGTGTAAAGGAAACCCCGACCTGTAGTACTATTAACCAGTTCATTACCGTGGATAAGCAACTGGGAAAAGAGGGAAGGGGGGGCGGGGGGAATCCTTTTGTTTGTAAATAAGCTACAGCTTCATGGTCAAAAGCATGCTGTTGCTCTTCCAGCGTTGACGTCCTACACCGCTGAAAGCAAGGGTGAACTTTTAGTACAATTGGATCCTTTATCCCAGCACAGAGTAAACCACATACTGTACATTCCCCAGAAGCCAAGTGGTGAATATCCCATTACATGGTGCTAAATATCAGTATAAAGGTGGTACAGAGTTGCTTAATAGAATTAACATCCAAACAAAAAAAAAAATAAAGCATATTTGGGGAATAATTAAAGATGTACCGTCCCAATTTTCTCTACTGCTTAAAAGCCAACTATGAAATGAATTATTTTTTTTTTCAGATTGACAAGAAACCACTTAGAACAGATTTCTTGTCCTTACATAATCTTGGCAGACCCCAGTTTATAGTAAAATACCTACTCTCCCACTGTCCAAAGTTTCTACTGTTCTATCTGCTATTTCTGTTCTCTTGTTAGCTACGAGACAACTTACTGTTAGAAATCTTAACGACAAAAAAGTTTCTAATATGTTAAGCCGTAATCTTTTGAGCTCTCAAATCAGATAAAACGACGAAATCACAAATTATGTGAACCTCAGCCATAAAAAAAAATTGTTAATACGACGTTTATGTTATTTGAAACATTTAATAAAACAAAATATTTTAAAACTACGAGGCCCTTCGCATTTCCTCAGTCGCTAAAGGAGGTGGTCCTGAGGCTGCATCTGCAGCACATCTGCACTCAGCTGTGGGTGGAACGGCAGCCCCACCTACAGGGAGCCACACCACGAGCAAGGAGAGGGGAAATCTCAAATTTTGAAAGCTGTGACAACGAGAGTTCAACCTGCTCTGACCTGGAAAGGCCCATCCCCGATGGGTGCCCTGCGAGAGTGGTTAGGAAAAACAAACTGAGAGTAACCCAACCAACCTCCTTGGACAACACACACCGTTTGTACCTGAGTCTGTGACCCCAAACTCTTTAGTTTTAGAAGGTAAGGACTCTAATTTACACTCAGTGTTAACACATAACATGATAGATAGATAATGTCCAGTAATCATCTCTCACTTCCTTGCAGTATAGCAGATTATATTGAGGAAAACTAATATGAGAGGAAAAGGCACAGCATTATCATGAGCCTTTCCTTAATGAAAATAATTTCAAATCCTGAAATCCAGGGCATACATCAAAGACATAATTTTCATTTTGTTAGCAAATCTTTCCTTAAAATACCATTTTCCATTTTTTATATGTAAATGTGATCTTCAAGGAGGGGGAAAAAAAAAATCAATTTTCCATTAAGATGCATCAGTGAATTAAAGCCATCAGCAAGAAAGTTCAGATTCTTTCTGAAGAACAGACTTAAAGGTCAACCTGCAGACTTTAAACCTTTTCTTCTGACATTCTGATTGCACAGTGTTATCAAGCCAAATAATCAATTAAATAAACTAGGGAAATTGCATTACTATTCCTTTTTTAAGGGAAGCAAAAATAGGGAGGAGGAAAATGATGTAATGCAGGACAAGCAGTCCTTAGGTGATACAGCCCAGGATTTTTGACAAAAGTAACAGTGTGACACAAGCTTGCAGAGAAGGGAAGGTGGAATTAAAATGTACCTTACTCTTTGCCTCAGGAGGCATCTTGGAACTTGAGGACCTAAAGAAAAACTTACAATTACAGACAGTAAAAACTAGAGTTTGTAATTGTAGAGTAATAAATAAAATCTGGCTGCTTGGAAGTGTGAACAGCAGTAACTTATCCAACAATAACTGTGTGTATGCAACACCGAGTTCAAGGGCAAATTGAGTTAGTCCTGTCTTCACAATCCGTAATTACTGATCATTTTAGCACATTTTGTTACTCCCCTCCCAGCAGAGGCTGATGTGACAATTGGTCTGGGAAAAGAAATATGTCAGTTGAGGTCTCTAGACTAAAGTCTGCTCCCTCTTAACACCCCTGGGGAGACCTTGCTGATAAATAAAGGGCTGCCACATAGGATATGCAAAAAAAAAAAAAAATACTGAGAAAGACTAAGCAAGGACAAAGCCAGCAGTGAACAGACTTG